CCCCGATCAGAAGAGATATGTACGTCGTCGTGGAGCGGAGTGTAATTCGTTCAAAGGGTCTATTGTGAATAAATTGAGCCGAGGCGAGGATCAAGCCTGACGTTCCATCGCGGCGCTGTTTTGTGCGCACGAAATTCCCACCGCGATATGCCCATCCGCCCTTTATCGTTCTTCTCCTGTGTCGCACCGTTCCCCTCGGAGCCTAGAAAACTACGTGGGCTGTCAGTTTATTAATCCACCGACAGCTGGAGCAGGCGATGCGGATAAAAAAGCCCGCGGAGGTGCGACCGTCCTCGAAAATCGACGAGCAATTTTGTTCGTCTGTCGTCGTCCACCGGTCGTTCTCGTAAAACTCAACGCGCTATACGCCAAATGGACGATTTCGAAAAGGGTCGGTTTTGTTTCCCGGGGAGTAACAATAATAATTACGTGCGGAGAGAACAAGTTCTCTATATTTCTATAAAACCAGGTCTCTTTCTCTCTCTCGAACGCGTACACGCGCACACGCGCACACGTACACATGTACGTGTACATATCTGGTGGCATCGTTTCCGTCCTAAGTGCCGCTATCGTTCTCGTGCGACGTGTTATTTTCCAGTTCCGATTGTTAGGCTTATTTGCTCCACTCGAGATGATTACGGCAGCGAGAGAAGAGGGAGATATATATATATATATATATATATATACATATAGATAGATAGATAGATAAAGAGAGAGGAACAGAGAGAAGCGGCGAGCATCGCGTTGCGGAAAGGGCCAACAGCAGCGGAGCTGCACGCAACCGCGTTTTAATCGGCAGCGTATTGTTTTCGTCGGTTGCATTAACAGATTCGTCCGCCTCCGCTACTCGCCTCTCTCCCAATAATCGCGATCAGGATGTAATCGAGTTAGTCCGGGAAAAGCCGCTGCTTATTAACGAGCCCGTGAGCATTAAATCGCACGCCTAAACTGCCACCATGCGAAATTGTTTCGGCGCGGTGACCAGCACGTGGCATGCCGGCGTTAATTGTTGTTTCCACGTGTAATTTCGGGTCGACGGCCACGGATAACGGTGCCGCGCGAGCGTTTGGATTAAATCTCAGTAGGTACGCGCGATGCACTTTGAAGACTCGCGTTCGAATATTAGCCACGCGGATCGGAACTCGCGAATTGAGCCTGCCGCCCGCATAAGAATCCAATTAAAGAGATCCGTTTTATTAACAGTTGCTTAACTCGAGTTGCAGTTAAGTCGATTCTTCGTTCCTTTGTAAAGTGAGAACGGACCGAGATAAAGTTTTTCCATGAAATATTCAATTCCGGAACTAGAACTAGAACAAAGCGGGAGAAGCGATATTGCATTACGTAAAAACTTAAAAGCGGCGATAGTGATATAAATTCCGAGTTTTCGAACAAGCGGACGGAGAAAAGTACTTCTAAAGCAGCTGCATCGTCGTACATTTACTTCGCTCGTAGTGAACCCTCTGACCGGAAATTGCATGCAGCGGAAGTCACCTAAGTCCGACCGAATACACGAGGACGAATTCGAAGAATCTATCGAATCCGAACTACTCGCAAAGTGCCGAGCGAGCTTGACCATTGTTGGGAAATCTTTCCACATATCTAAGTCGCGCGTACACGTGGTCATTGCGAAGAATTGCACTTTAAATCGCATTCGCGGACTTAACGATGCGAGACGTGCAATGCTCCGTTAAGTGCCTCGTTTTCTAATATTTCAATTGAGCTTTTGAATTTTCTGAAATATACTATGTGGCTTTTTCGCGTGGTTTGAAATGGACTAGTCAAAACAATATTTTAGTAATGACAGATAAAACATTTGTGAGATAAGCAAAGATAAATAAAAACATGTAGGTATATATATAAATTAAAAAACATGTATATATATAAAATATCTTTGTATACTTTAAATATTATTATATTATTATTATTGCTGTTTTCTAGGACAGCAAAACAAATTTTTAAATATATATTAACATAAATTAATAAAAAATAATGATACTTTGTACATGTAAAGAGTAGAAGACGTCAATGTTATTCGAGTCGGTCACTTTTTCTTGTCGGGATCGCTGATTACGCAACAGGAAATCTCGTATTATTTCCCTATATATAAGAGAGATTCGCGCATTTCTACACTCTTCTCGTTGTGATTTCAGTATTTGATCGCCGCTTGATTTGTCGTTTCCGCCGATCAAATTAGAGTGTCCTTGTTTCGATACGGGTGAACTTGCACAAGCCAGCAAGGAGTTCGGCCAGTTACTGAGCGCGGCGTAATGCTTGGCTGCACAGTAAATGGAATTAATGGTGTCGGAATGATAAGTGACGCCATGGCTGTATCTGATTTGATTACCAAGTATTTGCCGTCCGTTAGTATAATAGTGGTCCAACGTTGCCACTTGTTGTTTCTGGAGACGATGTTAAGCGAACAAAAACTCATGTCATAACGCTCGCGAGCGGTCATAAACACTATGTGCGATAATAAGCCAGCGTTTGACATTAATTCTGAGAGATGAAACTTGTCAACGGCAACAACAACATGATATTATTGTCGCTATTTGTGCGTTGTTTCGGATATTTATCAATCGTCCTTTGTACATGTTATATTGCGCGTCACGCCTACGTTTAATATGGCAGGCGCTTATCGGACAAACACGGAACTCTCGGTGATTCAGAAGTTGTTAATTAGAAGAAGTTTTGTTACCAACTGTGTGCTATATGTTGTTACAATAATATAATGTACAGCATTATTTTATATGTAATTAAAATCTACTATAAAAAATAAATTTAAATTATTTGTACTATTTTTAACTAAAAACTAAAACAATTGTGCCTTCAAATCTTCAATTTATTATGTATATTCTTTAAGTGAAGAGAAATTATAAATAAAATGTTTTTATGTGTATAACTTTATAATGTATCACAATTATCTGAAACACTTTTAAATATGGAGCAGTGTGAAAATTGTGAATGGCGACGAGGCATTGAGACGAAATGATTTAATAAGCTTCTTAGAGCTCGACGTTAGAAGAGAATGTGGTGCTGTGAATGCCGCTTAAAACTGGTTTCCGTTGCGTTTCTACGCGAGTAGCTGATCGGAGCGTGGATAAGGAATAGACTTAGTCCAGTTTGTGCTCAGGAAGCATAGCAGAAACTCAATCTCTCTGTCTGTAGAAGAATTATCAGCTTTGCACGTTACTTATCAAATATTAATATTAATGATTCTCATTATACACGCTTTTTATAATTAGGATTTGTTATTCTTGTATATAGCAAAACGAAGTTATTTAATCGAATGTCTTTGTTATCAAAGAATTGAGTTTGGAATTGGTAATTTAAATGCTGTGCAACATCATGGTCGTTGCCGCGTTGTTGCAAATCTTGGTATTAATTTTCAACAATAAGATTTTGATTTTGTTTCATATAATAACTTTATATATTCACATATTTCTATTATTCATCGTAGAATTTATTTTCAAAACTAAGTCGAGTTGTGCATAGAGTAATGCAATATACATATCACAGAAGGTTTTGCACTTGTCTTTCGACTTACAGATATCAGGATTTTTTAATTTTAACTAAACAAATTTTTTTAAATTACAATTCCGTTTTCCAAAATCTAAAATGGAGATCTCGCTACATCTTTTTCCTCACGGGCGTTACGTTACTCGAACAAGTTATCGCGACTGGTAGTTGCACGTGACAGTTTTATCGCGTCTTCGCAGCTTGAGTCTCTCTTGTCGAAAACTTCACACGAACTGCGAAGTGCATCGCATCTACGCCGTTGCATCGGATTGTGGATAGTATCTATAGCCGAGTACAGTTGACAGCGAGTAGAACCTAGGCTGTTGAACGTACAAGTTACATCTTGTTTGTTCGTGCCTGAACACCTCGAATGACCAGGGACAGGGTCGGTTTACAGTGGTTTACATAAAAGGCATCCTGCGTCGTGTTCTTATGATGACCCATATGATTTTTGTCTTTAAAACGCCAAGCTTTTATGTAATATTTTATGCAATATTTGCTATCATTTTATGAGCAACACATGTTCAAAATATTTTCTTCGCACCTGAAAATAGAGCCTGTTGCGCGCATAAGTTATCTTTTTTTTATTATAGTTAAACTAGATATTTCTAACAATTAAAAAATCATTATTTATGTGGTAAAATATAGCTTCCGAATTGTTTAAATTTTATTGTTTAGATTTTAAATTTTAATTGAAATCGTTGCAATAATTAAATGTGATATACATAAGCTTATATACAACTAATTCCAGTTTACGCCTACGACGTATCATGCACTTGCGTGCACTTGCGCGCGAATATACGTGCATGCGATATTCCCACCGTATTTACGGACCAATGATTTATATGCTAATTCTACAAGGAAGGCAATTCCGAGTCTCGCCGAAAGACTTCGGTAAACTTTCACTGTATTAACGAATCATCTTTTGGAACAGCGCGGTAGATACGACATACTGAGATAAACAATTTCGCATACTTTTCACGAATGTCGCTAAATACTGCATATTATTAATGCGCGAAAATACAATTCACGTCTTTGACAAATACGACAGTTTTAAAGAATTCCTTGTCGCTTAAATCATTTTTTTCGAATTTAATATGATAAATCTGAGCAAAAGGTGTTACCGATCATTGATGCGCGATATACGATATCAATAGAGATCATTTTTCTGGTTTTTTTTAAAGATAAAACTATTTTCATTGCCTAAAACCGTAGATAAAAGTACAAATTATTCTACAGATGGTTACTTTATGATTACTTTTAAGTAAAAAAATACGTTTAAACAAAATCTCTGTATCTATATTTTTCAGTAAACAATCTGTCAGCATCTTTTAACTCGCAAGTGATTTTGCTCTGGAAGTTTACAGGAAAACAATAAAAAGAGTAATTCTGATTTACGTTTTTCTGGCATTTTGATATTTTTGGAATTAACGCAAAATTTTATTTTTGCAAAAAGTTATATTCGGACACGTTGTTGCATTCACCTGTTCCTTTGTGAAGACGCACTTGACGCTGACCCAGCGCACCGCCTTAGGTGTGCATTTGCAGCCGTCCATGGCGCATATCCCTGGATAGGTGGCCTCCATCACGCACGGCAGAAACGCGAGATACCACAAGAACATCGAGCGCATGATCATACAATTACACTTAACGAGCCTGTCCAGGGCGCTAAACACTTTTCGCTTGACGCTCATTGTGATGATTTTTGATCAAATGATACGATTTTTAAATCATTATTATCCGATCACTTTGATTTCTTCGCGATCGATTTCTTCACAACGATCTGATCACTCGCATAATACGACGATGCACTACGTGCGGACGCATTACCAATCCGCGAATCGATCGCGCGGATCGATTTGGATAACACTGCAGTACTCGCAAGTACCATTCACTGTATCCTTAATCTGGCTTTTTCCACCGATCGATTCTACGTTCCAGACATAGAAGAAGGCACATTTCCTTTATCGATCTTTAACGATCGACATTTCGCACGATAAGAGAAGCGACTGAACCGTCTCAAGCGACTCGCTGTCGCGTCGGCTGCCGTCGACAGGCTGACACACGCACGATCGGGTCGGAGAAGAAGACGAAGAAAAAGTGGTAGGGTAGCTACACAAGCCAGCTGACGCGATCGTGACGGAGGTTGCTTTTAAACTGTAGTCAGTGGCATGCACGATCGGTGTCTCCTCCCCACTCAGAATCCATGACTCGCCTTGCTACTCGCTCTCTCCATCTCTTGTTCTCCCTCTTTTGCTTTTCGAGAAATAAACGCTCGGTACAACGCTGGGGCCCGAAAGGTCTCGATGCACAGGATGCAGGTCTCGATTTTCTCTTCAGGTCCAACCGAAATGCTACGTAAGCATGTCGAGGAGACTGACTTCCGCAAGAACGTAGTTGCTGAATTTTGTAAGCTTTAACAGCACACCTAACCAGCACCTGCAAGAACGACCTTGACCAACTTACGGTCTAAAGAGCTCTCGGTTACATAGGTGACCAGCGTTCATCACGGATGATAATTACGTAAGCCGTGTTCAGGACTTGTGACCCCATTTAATAGGTTCCGATCGGTTGTTCTTATAAAAGAGACCGGTTTGTTTTTATATTCAGAGTTTTTTAGTTTGATGAACATATTAAGCACCTGGACAATATTTTACCAAATTCGTTTTTGTAACTGTAATTGTATATGTCATAACATTGCTAAACTAACAATTCTAAGTTATCAGCTACTTTTGAAGTTTTGATGTTAGCAAACAATAAAATTATCAGCCAACATTAGCTTGTATTTTCTAGTAATGTAATGTTTTTTTTCAATAGAAATAGAACTTTTTTCTGAAATTTATCTAAAGATAATCTTATCTAAAAGATGCGTGAGTTATATATTTTATATATATATATAAAACTCGTAGAAGATCACATAAAACGTACTAAGATGTACTTTTTTAATATTATTTATAGAAACATCCTTTATTAAAAAAGGCATTTGAACCGAGAAGTGCGCGTTTGGAGTCGAATATATTGCACCTATTGTTGCCTCTTTTTCGCGTTGCCGATTGGTTGGTTGGTTGATCGAGTCGAATCGAATCGGTAAGATCGAGAGAGTAAATAATGAAAAGCGATTTTGAGACAGTT